AAAGTTAACAGACGTCTGATAATTTTAAAGTCATTTGATTTAGGGAGTTTTGCTTCAATCTTGGAGATTTTAAGTGGACGTTTAGGGGAAAGTGGATGAGTTTATCTGGCAGCAATGAGTCACAGGTCCACACACACTCAGGTAGGGATGTCGATACTTTCCGAAAAAGATCGATTTTTAAATCGATTCAAATCGTAAGCTGATATATTGATTTACAAAAAAATGGAGGTCTAAAAGATCGATTCCTAAAAAATCGATTTTTTTATGTTTGTATTTATAATGTAAATATAAATCCATTTTATGAAAAACAAGAAAGATACCATAATTAATGATCTCTTATCAATAGAAACAGTTTTTTTAGTTCAGGGAATTCGATAATAACAATTATTTTTATTACCATATCTAAGTCAGATCAAGAAAACATTTATTTTCAAAATGTATTATTACATGAAATAGTTAAAGTTCCTAAAGCTTCATAGCTAAACTTTTCAAAAACAATAGTCTGTCAAGTCTACTGGGATCCAAGCGGTTCCGCTCATCACTTGCGATGTTGCCAGCAATTGCAAAAAGGCGCTCACAAGGAACACATGATCCCACTATACTCATATACATCATGGCTTTTGAGTGAAGGTCATGATAAATAGTTTTTTATTCTTGCCAGTACAATATAGGATCATATTCAGGTTCACAACTGCCTGCGATATTAGTGTTTAAATTCTTCGTTTAAACCCTGACTTTTCAGTGCAAGTGCATTACTGTGCTTTATATACACAATTTATACGGAGTGACGAAAAAGTTATCACATAAAATGAAAAGACGTATGCTACATAAATTTCTTTAAACATACACAACTAAAAAAATATATAACAATTAATACATTAGCCGCGGTAGCATTTTTTTCGTTTCAATATTAAATAACATCATGTAAATGCATACAGATATCACCTGATGAATTCTAGAAGGTCAAAGACCCATGCCATTTCAAGGCGAATATAGGTAGTTTAAAGGTTATCAAACCTAACTACTCAAATAAAGAAAAAATCAAACAAAAACTGCACTTACGGCTAACAATTTAAGGCATAATTTTATGCGCGAAATTAAAAACAAAGGGAACGCACGCTGCAGGCGTATGAAAACAAAGTCAAGCGAAAAATTTACTTAAAATAATGAAGTTAAGGCATAATTCTCTACGCGCAAAGTGACAAGAAATGGGATCGGGTGTTAATATAAATTATTATTTTTCTGGCGCGTGCGACGTTTTGTAAGTCACTTCAGGTCAGTAACCTATATATCAAGGCTGATTTATTTCTTGTCAATATTTTACCCTATTTATTTTGTTTGAAAAATGCATTTTTTATTTTCTTTTATTATTGTTTATTTTATTATTTTAACAGACATATATCAACTTGTATTAACTGCTGTGCTATTTAACGTGATAACCTCGGCGCCACCCAGTATATATGAGTCATCTAATAACAAAGGCGGCAATATCCACTCAAAGTCAAAATTTAACTATGAATGTAGTTTTATTGTCTGTGGACGTAGTTTTGTAAGGAAATCTACATTACGCATCAATTACGGCATTATCCCATAGAAAATGGAGCTCAAAGTTTGGAGCTCGTAACAAACCCGGCATTATCCTGTACCGTTCAAATCAATGATGGCAACATGCATGTGGACCAATCAGAGCGCAGAATTTCATAAGCGTTGAGGTCGTTAATGCTCGTGAAATAGTGTTAGTGGTTTTATTGTTTTCTAATGAATACTGTATTTTTTTCTAAAAACTTTGGTTAACGTTGTAATTATGGAGTGTCTAGCATCGCCGAGTACATCGGGGAAGACCAGAAAACGTACGGCTCATCCAGAAAACTGGAAACAAAACATAGCTAAACGGCAGCGGTAAGTACACACAGATGGCACAGATTTGATACTTGATTTTATTAGCATGAATTTTTTTTTTTGAAATCAGTTTTATTCAAAAGTGCATGTAATTTGGTCATAATTTTAAAACTTTCTTTGAGCAAAGTCTGCATTAACACGATATTCGAATAAGCAAAGTTGTATGGGATTTCATTGCGTTCAAATGTTTTGTGGCCAGATATTTTCTTTTAAAATCTATTATTGTCAAGTTTTGTTCCAATAGTTATTTGTTACAGATCGAATAGATAACTTTTTAGTACGAGTACTGATTTTAAATTCCGAGCTAACGATATAGACAATCTAAATAGAATCACGAGCGTAGTGAGTAGTGCCGTATTGCCAAATTTTACCACGTTGTACCAAGTTGTGCCAAGTTATTTATTTTATGTGCTTTTGTTACAGATATTCCCCTAAGGAAAGTCCAAATAGACCCAGATGTCAACATCTCCGGAAGGGTGTTTATAAATGCGAGTCAATAACTATGCGAGACGTGATGAACTTTCATGCGGCATTTTATAAATATCACAACAAGGAAACACAAGATGCTTTTCTTCTAAAATACTGCGTCCCTGTAATTCCCAAGAGAAAAAGACCTAAAAATAAGAAACATCATCCGAAAACCATTCATACAAATTACAGCATTTACAGTGTATCACAGAAAAAAAAAATAACAATATGTCAGAAAGCGTTCCTCGGAATTTTAAACATTACTAAACATCGAGTACAGTATATTGCTAAAAAGTTTGTGGAATCGGGTGGACAAGCAGTAAAAGAAAAAAGAGGCGGTGACCACAAGTCCCATTTATTCACAGAGAAAAAAAATGCTGTAATGCTTTTTATAAATATGTTTCACATTGACGAAGCACATTACTGTAGGGGACATTCTGAACGGAGATATTTACCTGCAGAACTTTCAATTAACAAAATGTGGAAAATGTACAACAAACAGCCAAATTTTGAAGCAAATTTAAAAGTAAAAAAAGGTCTGTTCAGAAAAATTTTCAATAACAACTATAACCTCGGTTTTGGCAGTCCTAGAACAGATGTATGCTCGACATGTATTCTACTTCTAGAAAAAATTAAAAGAGAATCAGATGAGGCACAAAAGCAACGACTTATGGTAGAACATAGGGTTCACAAACTTAAAGCTAAAGCATTTTTTAATTTAGTGAGAGAAGAAAGACCCAATTTAAAAACATTCTCATTTGATTGTGAAAAAAATCTACCATTACCAAAAACACCTGATCAGATAACTTATTATTCCAGACAGCTTTATCTATATAACTGTACTATAGTAGAAGGTTCATCAAAGACTCCTCTGACAACACAAAATGTATTCGCCTACTGTTGGACCGAAGACCAATATGCCAAAGGAGCTAATGCAATAGCTTCCATAGTATATCACAGACTGATGAACACGAATTTGACAGATATAAGTACGATCAGATTGATAGCAGATGGATGTCCGGGGCAAAATAAAAACTCGATAATGATAGCGATGTGTTCGAAGTGGTTAAGTAGTTCGGCACCTGATCACGTGCAAAGAATTGAAATAGTTTTTCCTATCGTAGGACACTCTTTCATTCCACCGGACCGCGTATTTGCTCATGTGGAAAAGGATGTGAGAAAGTTGGAGTGTATATTAAGACCGGAGGATTACCTTGAGATTATAGGCACTTATAGCACAATAGTTCGTATGGGTTCTGATTGTGAAGTCCTAAACTTTAAGAGTGGAATGAGTTCAGTTATAAAGGATGTCGGCTCTTGGCACTTCCAATTTAAACATTGCAAAAGATTTTTAATACAGCGGTCAAAAGAAATTGGTAATGTTGTAATTCAAGGGGAAGTGCACTATACTAATAATTTGGGTGTATTGAAGAAAATAACTCGTAAAAATAAAAAGGCCTCTGATTTGAACCCTGAAGTGATTACTCAAAACATTGTGAGAATCAAACCTGCAAAATTGGTAGACGTAAAAAAACTATTAACGACTCATTTTGGAAATTAATGGGAAAATGAGGAGGGATTTGATTTTTATAGAAGTGTTTTATCACAAACATCAAGCCTAGAAGAAGAGGAAGATGCATCACAAGAAGTTACTTGTGAATTGCAAGTGGAGGAAAGATGTCTATAGTTTAAGAGTACTTGATTTTCTGAAGTTTACCTAAGGATAATAATGCTTGTTTTTTTTAATTGCATGATTGTTTATTTTGTTGAAGTTTTACGTAAAGTGCCATTCAGTATATTATATTTTTATAAAAACCAGCGACTGATTGATAAGTAATAAAAACGAGTTTGATTATTACTACGGCTATTATTTTAAATTTTTACTTCAAATATCAAGATTGTGGTGACCAGATACATTATGGTGACCATCGCTAATAAACATGGCTATCTCCATGCCTGTCTAAAACAAACACGGCAATATTCGAAACTTTCAAACAAAGTTGGCAATCTCCAACGGTTATTTGTGAATTCTGCTTTAAAAAGGCAATATATGTTCACTAAAACAGAGTAAAATGATCATTCTCATTGTACATTCCATATTTAAAAAATATCTAAGTTAAGGAATAAATAAATTTCACAAAATACGTTTTTATCACTTTACACAAAATTCAACGAAATGGATATTGCCGCCTTTGATATTAGATGACTCATATATATACGCAATAATATGTATTTATTTCGCTAATCACTGTATAATATTACGACACAGTTTGCTTATATAAACAAATGAATGACGCAATATCAATCAACAAATACAAAGCGTCATAGATTACAAACGTTACTTTTTTATTAAATGGAGGCGAAGGCAACTAAGCATACAGCCATTTCGCGAGTTTTTGAGTAATTAACCCTTTTACCGGCAACACCGTAATATCACGGATATATTCAAGTAATTGTAAATAATTTTATAGTTTTACCATAACAAAAAAAATCGAATGGCGATTTTCAAGGGTGAAATATCGATTCACTGGATCGATACAGTACTACATATCGATTTAAAAAACCGATCTCTAGGTCCTGAAAAATCAATTCCTTGATTAATCGATCTCAGCGCGCATCCCTACACATAGGCCAGACACAGGTGGTCTGTCAGGTAGAAATGGAATTAGCGCAAAAGCAGTTAAAGGCATAAAAGTCTAAATTTTAAGCTTTTAATCAATATTTATTAAGTCTCTCTAAAACTTTAAGTAAAAGTACTCTGCTCAGTTCAGTTTGATTAAATATTTTAATTATTATATCCAATAAATATGTCTTCTAATTTATCAGCAGCAAATTTTAATTTATTTGGAACAAATTCTTTAAAAGATGAATATTACATTAAAAATGTGTGGAATCATAATCTTCATGAAGAATTTCATGTTATAAGACAGGTATAATGAAAAACTATTTTTGTAATATACTTGGGTTTGATTGATATAATTATGTAAAATACATATAAACAAATGAAATATATTATAGTGTAGAAACTCCGAGCATAGCACTTTCCATAGCTCGCTGAGCGACCTTGAGCTTCCTCTACATGCCAGCATTGAAGGACCACATCCCAGTTCCATTGGTCATCACTGGCCACTGGCACTGGTACAGAATGCCTCATGATTAAAGTTCCCCTGTACACCATTCTGTGTACATGTACATATGAATGTACATGCACATACAGTTTCTATTTTAAATTATCACACCCCCTTAGATTTATGTTTGTAACCTAATATTACACAGTACTAAAATTACATGTCAACAACTATTATTGGGATTCTAAATTTAACATTTGCCTTAACTTTATAAATTTTATAGATTTGTAGCCAGTGAAAGGAAAAGGGGAGATCTCCCGCCGGGCAAGGTGTTCTGCCTGGGGAATGGACAACGCTCCGAGTGATATTTTGGAGCTATTCTATATATACTGCTTTAACTTCGGAACTTTGTTAGCGCGATTTAAGTTTCTATGTGTATTCGCTTATGGTGCGACGACAGCGCCGCCACATCACCGGCTACAGTAAGGCTCAGAGCCGTGCCGAACACTGTAGCGCAGAGAGTAGCTTGAAGAAACAGGAAGCATTATTATTCCAATGCTGCGATGAACCTTTTGTAAAGCTAGATGGCTTGCAGAATGTGAAGACTGCAGACAATATCTGCTCGGGAGCAAATGAATGGGGTACTTGAGGATGATGACGAAGGTTTGAAGTTGTAGTTTCCGAAGGTTGTTGGTTGCGTGTTCATATCACGTCGGTTGGTCACCACTGTAGTCGGTGGAAGGAAAAGTGGAGATCTCCCGCCGGGCAAGGTGTTCTGCCCAGGGAGTGGCCAACACTCCGAGTGGTAGTTCGGAGCTATTCTATATATACTGCTTTAACTTCGGAACTTTGTTAGCGCGATTTAGGCTTCGATGTGTTTTCACTTGTGGTGCGACGACAGCGCCGCCACAGATTTTATGCATGTGACAGCAACATTTTGTTCTGAATCTACTTTAATGACATGAACAATTCTTCGTGAAGATGTCAAAATAAATAGATCTGTATATTTAACTCGTTTTTTAATAACTTGTGGGTTAGAACACTTTTGTATAACTATGTCATATGAAGATATTAAAATAAGTAGACCCAGTATATGCCAAATTCGGCCTTATTGTCCCATTTAGATTTTTGTCTTCTGATATTCTGTCAAACGCTCTACTTCCATAATATTACATATTATTGGGTTTTTACTAACGGTTTTTGGTTGAAAAATATCTTAAAGGTTGTCCTTCGTCTCTATGTCAATCCTTTGTGTCCCATTCTTCTTATCGGCTGCTTTTACTACTAAAGACCAACATTATCTGGCAACTTTTGCTTATGCTAAAAGACACCTTGACATATCCATGATCAATCTGTTGAATCTATCTGTGGTCTCATTTAATTCATGAACATCAGCTGGACATGATTTGATCATTATACCCTTTTCTAAAACAAACTCTTAAAGCATTTTGGCATTTAAATATTTCTTTTCGTTTAAATGACAAATTCTGTATTTCATTTAATAATTATTTCAAACATTCTTGTAATTTATCATCCTTTCCAATCCAGTGCAATTACAATTTCTTTCAATATACTACTTGAGAAGTTTTCACAGATGAGTAGTGATCAAAGTTTTAATTTATACATAATTCTTTTAATTGCATCATTTTTTACAGGTTGTCCAAAAATATCACTGGGTAGCCATGGATACTGAATTTCCAGGAGTAGTAGCTAGACCAATTGGTGAATTTAGATCAACTGCTGATTACCAGTACCAATTATTAAGGTGAGAATATCAAAATAATCATTATTTTTACATAAAGCCAGCGATTTGTGTTAATATGTTTATGTTCAAATACAGCTGCTATCAAAAATGTTTTTTATGTACATAATACCTTTTTCCTTGTTTCCCTTAATGAGTGAGTAATAATATTCTAAATTGTAAAAGGAACCAATAGTATATAGATTGAACAAAAGGAAGAGCCTCTTTGCTAATGATTTATACTACTATTTTCAATACTGCCCGGAGAACATACTGAAATTGTGAAATAGATGCTACCCATCTCCGGTTTCATTTTATTCTGCTGCCTCCTACAACACCCACGGCACTACATGGGGTAGCTGATTCCACCACAGGCACATCGTGGTTAGGGGGAGGGGTGTTCAAGAAAATAAAGTTACTAAAAGTGCATGAAATAACTGTAATATTAATATGAAAAAATTAAAATCAAATTGGTTGGAGTGCTAGAAGTGTCAATCGCACAAGTCTTGGTTAACCACACATTGTTGAATATTTCAGATGCAATGTAGACCTCTTGAGAATAATACAATTAGGACTCACATTTATGGATGAGAATGGAAGAACGCCCCCTGGTTGTACTACTTGGCAGTTCAATTTTAAATTTAATTTGCAGTAAGTATAGGTATACAAGCTCAAAATATAAATAATATATAAAACACCAAAAATGTTTCTACCTATGTATGTTATAGACTTTGAAACCATACAACTGATGTGCCCCAAACCGATAGGCAATAATGCGAAGATGGTTGTAGACCACTAAAATAAAAAAAAAACTAAAACACTATATAAAAAGTTGATAAATAAACAAAACTTTTACAAATGTATTTATTTTTTAGTGTAGTAGCACATGCCGGGTATCCGCTAGTACTAGATAAAAAGAGAAGGCAGTCTAGTTGACATTTGCAGATTTTGCTACTGTGTATAAATAGTTATTTAAATGTCGAACAGTAAAAAAAATAGATTTCAGACACCAGAAATCAAAAACCCACCTATAAAAAATTATGTCAGTCAGTATGTTCAGTAGAACTTTGCCTGTATTTAAGGATCATCCAAAATAGCTAAAATCTGAAAACTAAAATTATTATTTCAGTGATTTTTAGATATTTCTTAGTAATATATTTACAATTTTTTTTACACCTGCTTCCAAAATATTATTTGTTGTGTAATATCTAGTCCCTTTCTTAAATGATAATATTCATTGATTCTTTTCAACTAACAGAGAAGACATGTACGCCCAAGATTCAATTGATTTGCTACAGAATTCTGGACTACAGTTCAGGGAACATGAAGAACACGGAATAGAACCTTTGGAATTTGCTGAATTGCTGATGTCTTCAGGTATAATTTTCATAATAGATGTATATATATAAATAGAATAAGAGTGACAAACAAGCACACAGTCCACCTGTTGGTAAGTGGATGTTGTGGCCCAATGACATCTAAATCTATTCTCAATTAAGAATCAAAATGTAAATGTGTTGCCACTCCTGTGGACTAAGATGGCATGCTCTGAATCGTTTCCAGTCAAAAGTGTCTCCGGATCTCTACACTCACCATACGAAACAGCAGTGATGAGCTGCTATTCTACGACGTTATTCTGTGATAGCGTGGTCCTGCCCCGATTGAGCTGACCCAGTCATACTACAACTACGAGGGTGGATTGAAAAGTACTCGGCCTAACACAGATCCATTCAATTCTAAAAATCAAATCTAACCACATTATTTAGTTCAGTTCAGACTAGTTCATTGTGTGAAGTTCGAAACGTGTGCGATAATTAGTTGTGATTTTATAAATTTATTAACAAAGTAATCGGACATAATTTCCGCGAATGGAGCAAATCGAGCAGCGTGCCGTCATTAAGTACCTCCATAAGAAGGGGCTATCATCAAAAGCCATCCATGATGACATGGTCAGTACATTAGGCGATTGTGCTCTGTCATATTCATCCGTCAAAAAATGGATAGCAGAATTTAAGCGTGGTAGAGAGAGTGTGAAAGATGAACCCCGCTCTGGAAGGCCTTCGACGTCAACTACTGACGAAAATATTAAAAAAGTACTTGATTTAATAATGGGAGACCGCAGATTAAAAATTAGAGAGATAGCCGAGATTATAGGCATCTCTTATGAACGAACTCAAAACATCATTGTCAACGAGTTGGGTTTCCACAAGGTGTCTGCGAGGTGGGTTCCGCGACTGCTTTCAGTTGAACAAAAAAGGACGCGATTGACTATTTCACGCGACTGTTTGGAGTTATTTGAAGCCGATGCAGATGATTTTTTGAATCGTTTTGTTACTATGGACGAAACATGGGTTCATTACTGTACACCGGAAACAAAACAACAATCAAAACAGTGGGGAAGACCTGGTTCACCACCAGGGGCGGATTTGAACTTTATGGGGCCCGGGGCTAAAATTGAGAAGGGGCCCACTAAATGACAGCGAAAAAGGTTATTTATCAAATATAAAAAAAAAATCATTTATTAATTTATTATAAACTATTATTTATAGATACAATGAAGTACAAACAATTATTTTAAAATTCGATTAAAAATTTTTTTTTCTTGATTTTGCTCTAGCAAAATCATGAATTAAGTTATCGAAGTCAATTGATCTCAATAAGTCGACTTCGATGCTTAATCTTGTTAAAGATGATAGTCTGTCGTCTGACATCGTTGATTGATACATGTTTTTTATTCTTTTCAAAACTGAAAATGATCTTTCTGATTCGTAATTTGCGATTAGAAGTGTAAGTAATATCCTGTAAGCAATATAGTTATACGGAAAAACTTGTATCATGTCTAAATCTACAAGCCAATTTAAAACTTTTAAGGGACACAAGATTTCATCATTTGCACTTGTGTTTTTTCCTGTACGATTGGAAAAAAAGCCCTTAGGCTGCCGTTTTAAACATGGTATAAATTGTTTCAATGCAACTGGTAAATCTTTTTCTAAATCTGTCTCTATAAATAATAATTGTGTGAGAAAGCCAAATAGTTGAATGATGCGATCATTTGCTTCACTCCGTTTCTGCAACTCGGCAACTAATTTGTCTATAATCACATAAAATGTGTTTACTCGGAATTTATCAGCCGGGCTTCAGCTACTAGCTTGTGAGTCTTTGTCGGTTAGCATTCTTGTGACCTTTCGTTTGTTTGCATCAGAATATTCTTGATCCACAAAATTACTTAGTTGTTTGCCTTGATTTTCAACGTCAAAAAATGTATCTCGCAAATCTGTCACAAAATCCACTAATAAAAGTAGCATGTTATTTGCAGAAATTAAATCTGTACCAAGTTTTGAAGGTATTGACTAGTCGCGTTAAAGCAGCTTAAAACAATATTCCATAGAATCGCCATAAAAACATTTTCAAGTTTTTTTTTTATATGTTTCAATAAAACTTCAGCTTCTTTCCGAGTTTCGCGTTTTTGTTCTTCGTCATTAGCTAAAATTTCTAGAGCCATGACTCTTTACTACAACTTTTGTGACGTCTTCGCGACATGACCATCTCGTTTTCGATAAGCTCGTTATTTTAGAATTCTCAGTGATTAAAATGTCCCACCGATGTGTTGATGCACTAAAAATGCATATAGCCGCTGTAAAATTCCGAAGAAATTTGTAGCATCAAGACATACGTCGACACTACATTCTCCCACTAAGTTTAGAGAATAGCCAGCGCAAGGCACGTAAAACGCTAATTCATTTTTTTCTCTAATACAAGCTTGAAGTCCAATATATTTACCGGATATATTGGAAGCGTTATCATAGGTCTGAACTCTGCAATTTTTAGTGTCGATACCGTGTTCCTGTAGTAAATCTAATACGTCATTACTAAGCGACCTACATTTATGACTTTTTATTTGTAAAAAACAGAAAAAACGTTCATAAACGTGACCATCTAAGTAGTATCGAAAAATGACTGACAACTGATCGATGTGGGATATATCTGGTGTAGAATCTACGACGAGTCCCCAATATTTTGCACTGTGTATTTCATCAATAATACGTTTTAATACTTTTGCAGCGATTAACTCTATAAATTCTTCGTATATAGTTTTAGATAAATAAGAGACTGTACCGCTGCCTTTGTGAGCACTTTTTTGCCACTAATTGGCGCTGATTTTATTCCATACAAATTGTAGTTAACTTTCTCGGTATCGAGTGCGTAAAAACAACATCTCGCACTAGGCACACAGAGATATCTCTCTGTCATTACACTATCTAGCCCGTTTTTGTCCCTGCCTCGTTTACTGGCGATCTGGTGAGGTCCTCGTACTCTTTACAACATTGTTACGATATTTTTATAGTTTTCTTTTTAACCGCATTTTCAAAGTTATTTATAGCGATAAACAAGTGAAAAAAATTATAATAGATAGTATAACAGAATTAACTTTTCTCTTTTGTTTTCTTTAGAATTGTTATTAAATAATCTTTCATATAAATTTATTTAAATTATATAAGTAAAAAAGATAATCACAACCTTTGGCATGAATGAATAACTCAAATTATTACGCGATAAACATTAACATTCTCTGGTAGAAATTTCCCCCAACCGTTCGCCACCGTGACCAACTGCTGCAGCGTTAGCGTTTTTCCCAACCCATTCGCTAATAATACCACCATTTCGTTATTTCTTCACAGATTTACACGCGTCGTTGGCCAACAAATAGTTAACCGATGGCAAATTAAAAATCGTAGATAGTTTTGGTTAACTTATTTTCTTTGGAAAACATTTTACTTTTATTCAAAATTCTTTGGAAGAGATTTAAAAAAAATATTTTTGATTCGAGACCGCGGGCCCCCCCCCCCAAGGTGGGGCCCGGGGCTATAGCCCCCCCTAGCCCCTCCTTTAATCCGCCACTGTTCACCACCCCCTAAAAAGCCTAAGTCGATTTTGTCGGCAAATAAGGTGATGGCTTCAGTATTCTGGGACTCGAAAGGTGTGATTATGATTGATTATCTTGAAAGGGGTCAGAATATAAACTCTGATTACTACTGCACCTTACTACGTCGTTTACGAGAGGAAATAAAAGAAAAACGTCGAGGAATGCTCAGAAGAAAAGTCCTGTTTCATCAAGATAACGCCCGTGTTCACACGTCAGTACAGTCAATGGCTGAAATTCACAACTGTGGCTTTGAACTGTTAACGCATCCGCCGTATTCACCTGATCTGGCACCATCAGACTTCTTTCTGTTCCCTAACCTAAAAAAGCACTTGGGAGGTCAAAGATTTTCGACAAACGACGAGGTCAAAGCAGCTGTAGACGCATACTTTGACTCTAAGGAAGAATCATTTTTTTTCAACGGTCTAAATGCTTGGAAGGGGAGATGGCAAAAGTGTATTGAACTTGATGGTGATTATGTAGAAAAATAAAAATATAACTGATTTAGTATTTGTTTATTTTCTTGGTTAGGCCGAGTACTTTTCAATCCACCCTCGTATACTCTCTCTCGGAAGAATATGTGTTGGAGAGTGGGGTAAGACAGGGAGGCTTGACGTCTCCCACACTCTTCAACATATATATTAATGATCTCATTGTCAGGTTGAGCAGTATGCGTGTCGGATGCCGTATTGATGGAGTAAGCACCAACAATATAAATTACGCTGATGACAGTGTACTGCTCTGTCCAACTGCGGGGGGTCTTAACGAGATGCTAAGGGTTTGTGAGAAATATTCTGCTGAGCACGGGCTCATATACAATGTAAAAAAGACAGAATGCATGGTGTTTAAGGCCGCTGGTAAATGTCCCGATAAAGTCAATAACATTACCCTGAACGGCGTGAACATACAACGTGTATCAAAATTTAAATATCTGGGACATATAATTACTGACGACCTTAAAGACGACGCTGACATAGAAAGGGAACGTAGGGCTCTGTTAGTAAGAGGCAATATGTTGGCTCGCAGATTCTATCGTTGTAGCGAAGACGTAAAAGTGACCCTTTTTAAAGCGTATTGCCAAAACATGTACACGGGAAATCTGTGGACCAGCTATACCAAGAAGTCGCTGGACACCCTACGAGTCCAATATAATAATGTGTTCAGGATGTTGTTGGGATTGCCCCGTTTCTGTAGTGCATCAGCGATGTTTGCAGAATACCAAGTTGACGACTTTGCAGCCATTATTCGCAAAAAAACCACATCGCTGATATTTAGAGCGCGAGGCAGTCCCAATAGCATTCTGCAAACCCTGGCAGATAGGTATACTTCTCCGCTTTGGGCCTGCTTTGTGAGGAGGGTTATTTTAAAACACAGTTATTTAAATTAAATTCAAATTGACCTCATCTGATTTTATTTTGATATTTTATTTTATTTTGATTGTATTTAATCTAATTTAATTAAGACATTATTGGATTTCGATTGATTTTTATTTGATTTTTTGTTTGATTGTATTTAATGTAATTTAATTTTGACATTACTATTATTTGATTATTATTTTATTTTTATTTTTGATTTTATTGTAATTTAATTTTGGGTATAGATTTGATTTTAGTTTTGATTTAATTTAATTAAATTTATTTAATGTTCTCAATTACTAACCTAATATAAGTCATACTAACAACTTATGGATCTTTGATATCTGAAATAAAGAATTATTTATTTATTTATTTATTATTATAATATAGCTGCAGCATGGCTCTGCCTCGTAAAACTATAACAGCTGTAACTAATATGCCTTAAATTTAAGTGTTCACATGTAGCTCATTCTTTTCCAGGAATTGTGCTAATGGACGATATAAACTGGCTTAGCTTTCATTCCGGTTACGACTTTGGATATTTATTGAAACTGCTTACTGATCAAAATCTGCCGCAAGAGGAGAACGATTTTTTTGAAAGCTTGCGTCTGTATTTTCCAACAGTTTATGATGTCAAAGTAGGTTCATTTATAATTATTTAACCTCAACAGGAAACACCTTAAGGATTAATTAAAGTTACAACCTATATACGTTCCACTGCTGGGCACAGGCCTCCTCTCATTTCTGAGATGGTTTTAGGGCAAGAACACGTCCGCCGCGCTGGCCCAATTCGTGTTCACAAACTTCACAGGTCTTCGAAATATATATATTTTCTTATTTCTCACACATGCAGAAGTCCTTACAATGTTTCCTTCACCGTCGAGCACATGGTAAATCAGCACTTAAAATTGCAATTAACTATTTCATTGGTGCCGGCGAGGATCAAAGCCGGGTTACTCGTGTACTGTGAAATTTACAGTGAGCGCTCAGCACCTGAGCTACCACGACTCAGGTTAATTGAACAGACTTAGCTCCATGTAATGATATGATAGTATTGAGTAAAAATGTTTATGGGATATACGCGCTCGCTAGTGGCACTTTAAAACTTTGATAATTAGCTAACCAGGTGACAGGTGACAACTATCTTTATTTGATATATTTTATGTAAAATAACTACATATTTATTATAATTATATCATATAAATGTAATTTATATATAATTTCTATGAAACCAAAATTGTGCGGCTGATTTTGTGTTTGTTTTTCAAAAGGCAAGTATTTGCATGACGTGACTCGGCAAATGTTTTCGACCGAAAGTGCACAGTTTTGGAGAAACTGGACCTTTTCTTAAATTACTATGCGATGAACGGTTTTCTTACACCTTCTCCATATCTGTGACATTGTAGAAACTGTTTAAACTATGGGATGTCCACCTCAGCCAGGACGCCTTCGGGGACTGTCTCCCCCTCCTAAAAAAAACAAAAAAAAAATACAAAAACTTAGAACAGAACAAAATAATATTATGCATATGTATACACCTACATAACATCATCCTGCTCCGCTCCATTATAAGTTTTTGCATTTTTTTTAAATACAAAAACTTAGAATATAACAAAATAATATTATGTAGGTATATGAAACAATGACTTACACCTAGTTACTTAAATAGTGTATGGTTTACTGTGGCCTTAAACTTAGCTAGAGACAATCAATACATTAACATCTATTGACCCACCGCACTTATTATATAGTTGGGAAATTCTGGAAACCGGTGAATTGGCTCCCAAAACTGTTTTGCGAAATGGACGAGAGAGAGGTTCGATGGGCTTACGAGGCATTCGTGATGGAACTTTAAAATTCAATTTCATTTCAAATTTCATGTCTTTGTAGAATAATCTTGAACTTGTTAACATAACTATATTAAAAATGTGTAACATTAGTTAATAAACGGCCACTAGCGATGGTGTAATCTTTGGTGGAAAAAAAAAAGATAATTAGCTAACCTGTCCTGTCTCGTTTTATACGGGACTTCGCGCAACCGCAACGCATATACTTGTCTATTTAGCTCCCGATAATTAGTAATGTTGTCGTTCTACTAATAATAATAATAATATATGTATGCAGAAGGTGTAGTTACATCTCGTGGTATAAAAACATAAAGTTTAACATGTTTAAAGTATGAAAATATTTTTAAAGTTCTTTAACAACATAACAATAACATGAATATATTACACATTAAAACCTTCCGTTACCGTTAGCATTACTGTCTGTCAAACGTCCACTGCTGACCATAGGCCTGGGAATATTTGCCGGCAGGTGAGTTTGCAAACACAGTGGTGGCATTGTATGAATATCAACTACCCCATATCGCTCCGTGAATGTGTCATAAGAGGCGACAGAGGGAAACAAACCAGGAGACAGTCAGTAGCAGTTTTTTAATAACGATTAAAGCCTTCGTCAAAAGTATTTTAAAATATTCAGTTAAATACATCGAATAATATTAGATACTTGTGCTATTTAGTAATTTCAATCTCCATCTACATTCATTTAATATATGTTAAAACAAACTTTACATAATAAATAAAATTTAAGTATCTGTGTTAAATCCTACTAATATTATAAACCCTGAAAGTTTGTGAGGATGTATGTTACCCTTTCACGCAAAAACTACTAAATGGATTTTAATAATACTTTACGATTATATAGCACATCCATCGGAATAACACATAAGCTATAATTAATAAATATATTGTGTAAATGGGCCAAAATATAACGATAAATGTTAAGTAAATCGGAAAAAAAAACACGGCGTGTGTCTAAATACGCATCACAAAACGTGCGAACCGATTTGGGTGGGACTTTCTCTGGTAGATAGTTGATGTTATAAGGAGTTACTTGGGCTATTTTTATTTTATGGTTTCACGTAAAATAATTCCACGCGGCGAAGTCGCGGGGAATAGCTAGTAATAAAATAAAGGCTGTTATTTGCATGAGTGGCCTAAACTATATCCCGTGTTTTTTGGAAAAATCGAAAAAAATATAAAATAAAATGGATTTTTAGATCTAAATAACGCCGCTGTTATGTTTTTGTTTTATAGTAAGGTGTGGTGGGCGTGATTCCCCCCCACCCCCACCCCCAGTTTTTAAATGGGAAAGAACAGCCCTGTTGAATCCACTGTTTTTCTTGGCATCACTCTCGACGCAAAGCTTCAGTGGTGCCCCATATGTCCTATGCTATAAAAAAGATTAGAGGTCTCACTAGTGTCGAGACAGCTAGATTAGTTTATTTCAGTTATTTCCATAGCATAATGTCTTATGGGATTTTGCTATGGATAAATGCGGCTGATTCAGAAACTATTTTTGTTTTACAGAAGAGGGCCATTAGAGCTATTTACAACCTAAAACCGAGAGTTTCTTAGAGATATATTCAAAGAAATAAATATATTAACTTTGGCCTCTCAGTATATTTACGAAAATTTAGTGTATGTTCACACAAACAAAGGTAGTTTTAGTAAAAAGTGACATACATTCTGTAAACACTAGAAACAAACACAAGCTAGTGTTACCAGTTTCTCGACTCCGCAGAGTCAGTAATTCATTCTTGGGGCAATGTATACGCTATTACAACAAGGTCCCAGAAAGTGTACAGGCTCTCTCTATTAGCAAGTTTAAATGTTTTGTTAAGTTGAAACTGTATAAAAAAGTTTATTATAGTATAAATGAATATATGGTTGATAATAACCCCTGGGAATGAGGTGGTCGCTTGCAAGCTGTTTCTAAAATAAATGTTGTACCAACCATTAATGTAAAATATGCTTTTAAAAAAATGTCCCGCTGGGTTTCTTGCTGGTTCTTCCCAGGACAGAGGTTTTTTTTTTCGAACCAGTGGTAAAGTAAAAAATGACTTTCAATAAGAATTATACATGTGATCTATATTGAATAAAAAATTATTCTATTCTATTCCCCCACCGCACTTCAAAAATCTTACGATCATTTTTGTATTTTTCGCTTTGGTTGCGCAATAAACTTCTTTGATACCAGTACGAGTTCTTGTTTGCCATCGATTCAGCTACATTATTATTAGTATTAAATACCAAATATCATGTCAATCTTTATCAACATTTATTTAAAATACTCAATTAAAATAATGTTAAATACAATAGTGATTTCAAATTTCAGTCTTCATGAACATTAATTTATAATACTCAATAATATACCGAATAAAATGAAATTTTAAATTATTTCGTGTAAAAAAATATTTTAATATAGCAACCACAATTTTAATTGATATTGAAATTATTTTGTAGATAATTCACGAATATTTTTTTAAATATTTTGTTACGTGCACGTATCTATCTAGTTAGGGGTGACGTTACATTATTTACGTGTGCGTTAGTACCATTTGTGAACACTAATCTAATTGTTGCGTAGCTAATCTATTTACGCCTTTTTTTACTTATAACATCGCTGCATACATGCAATTTTTACTGATAGTAAGTTCACAACTTACTATCAGTATCAGTAAAAATTCTTTTCTCTTACCTATTCCTGCCACCAAATGGCAGTGCTTGCACTGCTGTGTTCCGGTGTAAAGGGCGTGGAGGGAATATAATTACAGGCTGTGATACATTCCAGCTTCGTCCTCAAACTTGACAACACATCTTTATTTGTTTGAAGTGGGCTGCATGTGTTCATGGACCAAAGTAGTTACTTTTTAGGGGGCCTGTAAGTTTGTTTATCACTACCGTTTTTTTTTCATCTTAAAATATATTTTTTTTAATAACTTCCACAATTATTATAACCTTCCCTTTGCAGTACTTAATGAAATTATGCAAGAATTTAAAGGGAGGACTTCAGGAGGTAGCTGATCAGTTGGAGCTCCGACGTGTTGGACCCCAACACCAAGCTGGCTCAGATTCCCATCTTACTGGTATGGCGTTCTTTAAAATTAAAGAAGTAAGTGTTTTTGAATTAAAACTTGGATATATTATTATCAAACTTACATAAAAAATAAGACATACAACAATAGGTTAAATAAGATAATGTCAAATGGAAACATTTCACTGCCTCTGAAATATAAAAAATTGGTGCATCAACACAACACTTATTAAGTGATCCTTAACAAATAATTATGGTAGGATTTTAATTCCGATGATTTTGGCTCAATCTATACAGGTCAATATCTTAATATTCTCCATTTTTTTAGATAAATCTAACTCCACAATGTTCCTTTCCATTATAAGTGGGGTATATGGCAAAATTTAAGTGTTTATCTTGAAGTATATTTAATAGCGACATAAAAAAAATACATTATCATACTGATAAAAATCATTTTACATATGTATGTCAAATTGTAAATGTTTGTGGTATATTGTTTCATTAATTTTATAGAGAATCAGGGCTGGATAAGAATTAGGCGCCGCGAAAACGTGGACATTTTTGTTACCGAACGCAAACCGTAGTTGCTGTGTCCGATAGCGACGATCGGACTCAATCGCCGGTTGTACTTCTGGTCACTGGTAACAATGCCGTCGCTTGTTTTCCGTCAGTTTCACGATGTATAACGATGAAGAAACATTACCTTCGCTTTTTGTGTTGATTACACGTGGATGTCACGCCACGTCAATGTCATCGCCCTACAATTGTAAGGAAATTTGGTTTGTGTTGCTTGTGTCTCCAACTGACGGCTTTTAGTTGGGTTACCTACACCGAACACTTTGATTGGTCAACTGGAAGCAGCTGGACAGAAAAATTGTTTACTACGTTTGCGCTAAGGCACTTTTTCTGTTACGTTTGCTCAGCGCCTTAATTGCTTTCGTTTTATAGAATTTAATCAAACAGATAAGAAAATATTATATTGACCTATTGGAAAGTAGTGCTGACAATAACAATTTGATGATGAGTCTTTGTGCAGCAGTGGACACTTCCAATAGCTGTTGAGGAATTTGCACTTTGGAGTGGTTCTATTAACCAGCAACCAGCATATCAGCCGACTCTTAACAGAAGAAAAGACCCTGTATTAAAATCTAAATCCTGGTTTTTAATGCTTTCATTGACCATATTATGTATTACAACTAGTTGCACGTAAAAACTACATGTTAATAGTCACTAACAATCAGAAGTCAAAAAGTTTTTTGCTAAATAATTATGTTGTCTGAACTTTGTAAATGTGCATGTATTTTTCACACAAATATTGATGTCATAATAGTTTTCAAAGGATGCAAAAAGGAGGACCGTTATACGTGGTAGAGCCGCAGTGCAGCTATATTAGTTGTAGCTTGAATGGGTCGGCTCGACCGCGGTAGGACCAGGTTCTCACAGTATACCAGCTTAAAATAGCAGCTTAATGCTGCTGTGTTTCGTATTTTTTTTATATAGGAATAGGGTGACAAACGAGCACACAGTCCACCTGATGGTAAATGGTTGTTGCGGCCCATAGACATCTACATCTATTACAAATAAAAATGCAGATGCGTTGTCACCCGTGAGGACTAAGATGAAATGCCTCGTTTCCAGTAAAAAAGGTCTCCGGCCACGTGCACTCACTAAGCTAAACGCAAAGGTAAACCTATACTTCACGCTGGTATTCTGTGAGGTCGTGGTACCACCCCGGTTCGAGCCGGCCCATCTGTGCAACAGCAAAAGCTGCCGCGTGGCTCTACCACTGTAAAAAATTAGTATGGTGAGTGTAGAGAACCGGAGACCCTTTTTACTGGAAACGAGGCATTCCATCTTAGTCCTCACGGGTGGCAACGCATCTGCACTTACCATCGCGTGGACTGTGTGCTCGTTTGAAATCCTATCCTATAAAAAAAATACGTATACTCCTATGAGGCAATCTACGAAGGAAGCCTTTATTCAGCTGTGGACTTCTGATAGGCTGTAATAAAGATGATGAATGAAAGAGAATTTCGCACACGGAATCTATACATATAATAAATCTGTAGAAAAGTCGTGTCTGTAATTCTAATATATTCTTGAAAAAACAAGTCCAGGGGACTAAATAAAGGGTTCTGAAGCGAAATTAGTGGTTTTTAGAATTTTTGTCTGTCTGTCTTTCTATCTGTCTGTCTGTCTGTCTGTCTGTCTGTCTGTCTGTGTATTCCGGATTCACGCAAAAACTACTGAACCGATTTACATGAAATTTTGTATGTAGGTAGTCAGTAACCCGGGGCAACTTATAGGCTACTTTTTATCCGATTACGGAACTTCAGAAAAGGAAGGTTAAGTATATTAATTTCCTTTAGATGTTAATTTTCTGTTGTATCTCTAGGCGGAATGACGGAATAATTTCAAATTAAGACCATATTTGTAAATAAAGTTTAAAATATAGTTATAATCTTGGTAAAATAATTTGAAACTACACCGATTTCGTATTCAAAACAGCGCCATCTATCATCAAATGGAAATAGTTGTATATTTTGCCTTCAGTTAATAACAAATGAAATAATATAAATAACTTATGTACATTAATACGATTAAATTATTAGATTTTTAAAATTAATAAAAAATTGTAACGTTCAGTTTTTTAGTATTTTTGTTATTTTATTTTAAAAGTGTAATAATTTCAATAGATAATAGTGACGTCTATAAAAAATATGAAAATTGATAAGGTATTTATTTCAATTACTAATATATATGCAAAGTGGTAAAAACTGGTCTGTCTGCAATTGTTGCAAAATTTTCATTATCATCATAGTTTTATTAAAGAGATTTTTATGTAAGTCGTGGCCAGATCTTAGAATTAATCATATATCATAAAGTAGTCTATCATTTCGTGAAAAGACTGACAAAATGACTGAAATGAATGTATTTGTATTTAACACTATTTGTTGACCATGTCATGATATAGCTTGACCAAATCAATGAATAGAAATCTTTTGAAGTTATTAGTAACTAAACACAACGTTGCTATTTCATAATATGGTCATATGACGATATCATTATCGTTTTTCACCGCTAGCGGCGCTGATAGCTTATTTTTAACAGAAACAGAACTTTTAAGAGAATTGACATCACTTTATCCCTTATAATAAATAATATTAATTATAATAATAATAAATAAATAAATGTTCGTTTCTATTGCTAGATGGTTGTGCACGACGCAACAATATTAAACAAACGAAAGAAAATGCTTATTGTAACCGGCGCTAGTTGAACAACCTAGGAGCGGTGGGCGGAGCCATGACGACGGTGTAATTATCAGGCCACGCCTCTGGTTCGACAACTAGCAAGGGTTATACGGCGGGACTAGCGCAACCTTATGTTGAATTTAAATTATAATTTGTGTAAATAATTGTATTACTTGTATCGAACGATAAAAAATAATGATTGTATTATAACTAAGTTTAAGGTTGAGTTGTAACTGTGCAATAACTCTCCCAAATAAAGGCACCGTATGAACAGGGAGAGTTAGCATAGTCTTCTAATGAAAACTGTAATTGTTAAATATAATAAATGTTTACTTTATTATATAATAAATATATTAGGCCGTTAGGCACATAAAATAATAGTAGTAGTATAACCAAAGAGCATGTTGTCGTGACGCGGCCGCGGAGCAAATGAAGCCACGCGCACCGCGCCACGACGTTTTATATTTATATAGTGCTGAGGCGGGGGGAAGGATTCTCCGCCTAAAGCAGCTGAAAATTATAATGTAAACCTGTAAATAAGTAAAAATATTGATATGTACACCCTAGTCTAACAAGTAGTTATAAGAATATTATATAGTGAATTATGTTTATTAGTTTGTAAGGTTATTAAATAAATAAAGATAGGCGCGGGGGTGAGGCAAGGGTCCGCTGGCCAGCAGCGGCCAAATCATATAAAAGACGGGCCGGCCGCTAGGGTCAGCAGTCGCTCTCCAGCCACCGAAAAGGCACCAGCAAGAAAAGAAAAAGTACAAGTTCCTCCTCACCGCCGCTTGCCTCCAGTTAAAAGCAAGACCAGCGCGTTTTATTCCATTTTTCGCACGGCATTACGGCGATCCGTAATAATGGTATAGTTTTGGCTTTCATTATTTCATGTAATATTAGCGCCACCTACTTACTTCTAAATAAATTAAAATGTCAAGTCATTGATAAAATGAAATAATACAATGCTATTGATTATACGATGTAAATAATTGAATAATTTACATTACGTTCATCCCGCGTTGGAATCAGTGCAGCGAACTCTTTTTTGGCCAAAAACTCTACAGCCTGTGCCCAGTAGTAACATATATGTAAGCTGCTTTTTTACTTTTCATTGGGCTATATATGCAGTTTTTATTTCATTCGTGTTTTCGGGTATGTTAATTTTTGTTTTTACTCTACCGTAAATATTAAGGCTTCCAAAGATGAGTAGAACTCATTATCGTCAGCCTATCAAAAGTCCACTGAAATGAACATAGGCCTCCCCCATAAATTGTCAAGTAGCTGGATATTTACTGTTACGAGCTTGGGGTTCGAGACAATTAAAAACTGCCGATTGAATTACCAAAATTGACACTTTAATTACACAACACTAATTACAATCTAAAATCACACTAATAATAAAACACAGTTCGCCGTTATTTCGCTTCGAAGTATTCTCTTGTATCGCCAATCCAATACTGCCCCGGTCGTGGTCTATACCGGTCTTATATAGGGCCTCAGATAGTTTCCAGAACCTTCTACTGTAGCGACATCTAGAATGTTCGAGTACATATCGGTCCCGAAATTTCTGGAAGGATCTCGACTCTCCTAGTTCTGCTACTCGACACTAGAGGGCGCTAGTGTGACTAGTGTTGCCATGTACAAGACATTAATAGTGGCGCGCAATACTTTCATTTACTCGACACTAGGGGGCGCTAGTGTAACTAGTGTTGCCATGTACAAGACATTAATAGAGGTGCGTAACACTGCCCCCTCCTAAGACATGCTCGTCCCGAGCATTATTGGCCCCATAATAACGCGCCAGTCGATCCACATGGACAA